TGAGGGTGCTGAGCCCCTGGCCCAGGTTGCCCCAAGAGGTGATCACTGCCCCATCCCTGGCACCATCCCAGGGGAGGGTGAGGGCTCTGAGCACCCTGCTCTAGCTGGGGCTGTCCCTGCTCCCTGCAGGGGGTTGGACAAGTTGAGCTCTAAAGGTCCCTTCCCACCCAAACCCCTCTATGATATTTGTTATCAGTTTATAAAACATTCTGGCTGAGAGAGGGCTACCAAATAGCTGCTCCACAGGCAAGGAGGAAGGGCTCTGAGGTCACTGCTGCACTACACTGGGTGTCCTGGAGTTGAAACCCTCATCCTGGTGAACATCATGCCAATGACCTTCCCAGGGCCAGGACTTCCCCTGCTGAGCAGATCTCTGATGGAGCCACTGCTGTCCTCAGAGCTCATTTCTCCTCTCTCACCTCCAGCCCTGTTGTTTCTCTCTCCCAGAGGTGGTGTGTGACCCTCTCCTGGATTACAATGTCTGGAGCACTTTGCAGCCCATCAACTCCTCTGGAAAAGTGGAGCCTGAGAAGGAAGTGATCATGGTGGCCACCCGAGTAGGTTCCTCTCCCCCTTGCTGAGCATTGGAGAGAATTTGAGTTGGATTTTGAGGGAGAGGGTGGAGGATTTGTTGTCCTGGTAGAATGTCCCTCTGTCTCTGTGTGTTTCTTACACCTCCTGTTGGTGCTTGCAGATCGACAGCCATTCCTTCTTCTGGAACATTGCCCCCGGGGCAGAAAGTGCTGTCTCCTCTTTTGTCACCCACTTGGCTGCTGCTGAAGCCCTTCGTAAAGCAGCAGATGTGCTCTCCCTGCAGAGGAATATCATGTTCACCTTCTTCCAAGGGGTAAGAGCAGCAGCAGCAGCACTTTTTGGTGTCTTCTAAGGCAGCAAATCAGCCCTTGGCTCCCTGGGAATGAATTTTGTGCAGTCACAGAACCCCAGCGTGGTGGGGTTGGGAGGGACCTCTGGGGATCAGCTCATCCCACCCCCTGCTCCAGCAGCTCACCCACAGCAGGGTGCCCAGGGTGGTGCCCAGCCCAGTTTGGGGTCTCTCCAGTTTGGAGACTCCACAGCCTCTCTGGGCAGCTGCTCCAGGCTCTGCACCCTCACCCCAAAGAAGTTTCTCCTCCTGCTCAGGTGGCACCTCCTGGGTTCCAGTTGGTGCCCGTTGCCCCTTGGCCTGTCCCTGGGCACCACTGAGCAGAGTCTGGCCCCAGCCTCTTGCCCCCCGGGGGCCCTTTAGCTCTTGCTCAGCACTGCTCAGATCCCCTCTGAGGCTTCTCTGCTCCAGCTCAGCAGCCCCAGGGCTCTCAGCCTGGCCTGGCACAGAGATGCTCCAGCCCCTCAGCATCTCCAGAGCCTCTGCTGGGCTCTCTCCAGCAGCTCCTTGTCTCTATTGATCTGGAGAGCCAAGAACTGGACCCAAAAGAGCCATTTCTCTGCATCCCCACACCGTGGTTCTTTCCACTCCCCCAGTGAGACCAGGATCTTTCTTGCTCTGGGGTGAGGACAGCAGATGGAGCCTCCACTGGGGCAGCCCCTCTTCTGCCCCACACAGTTCCTCCTGCCTCAGTGACTCCCCCTTTGCTTTCCCTCCCCTGGAGACTGGATGAGCTGCAAGGGCCAGGCTTTCAATCCTGAAATGAAGCCCAGAAAAGGCTGGATTAAAAATATATGTGTCAACAGCAGCAAAATGTGGCTCGTTTCAGAGAGAGCCCAGCACTGGAGCTGGCAGCTGTGGAAGAGCAGAACAAGGCTGTGTGGAGGAGGGAGGGACTCGTGGCCAACAGCTGATGTTCCCCTCAAGGCATCTGGGCTGATGGCTTCTTTTGTGCAGCTTTGTGAGGCTGGCTCCCACAGCCTCACTGCTGGGGCCTCGTGATGTGATTCCCCCCTCATCCACCCTCCTCAAAATTCCCCCCCTGGGGCTGGGGGATGGACAGAGAGGGAGCAGGGAGTGGATGTTGTGCTCCCAGGCTGGAGGAGGACAGAGGAGAGGTGGCTGGAAGTGAGTCCTGGGGGAGGTTTGGTGGCTCCTTGACTTCACCACCCCTCTGCTGAGGGATTCTTGGGGGCACCTCCTCTACCCTGGGCAGTGCTGAGCTTCTGCAGCTCCCTCAGACTCACTTCTGGCTCCCTTCTTCCCAGGGAAGTGGGTGCTCCTCCTCTCAGGAAAACTCTGTAGGGTTTGTTCCAGGATTTGCCCTTTCCCCTGACTCACTGTCCCTCCCAACAACCAGGGAGGGAGATTCAGGCCAGAGTAAAATCTGGAGAGATGCCTCTGCTGGTACTCAGTGTCCTGCTGGGTACTTCACCCCTGGGCCTTCCTTGCCTGTGGGGTTCAGTAACTGTTCCCTGGGGTTTTTTGTTTGCTTTTTGTGTCTTCTTTTTGCCCTTTCCTACAGTACCTTTGCCTTTGAAGCCAGGCACAAAGTGATATTTACTTTGGGTTGTGCCAGGCTAAATGAAATCATAGAATCCCAGACTGGTTTGGGTGGGAAGAAACCTTTAAAGCTCATCCAGTCCAACCCCCTGCAGGGAGCAGGGACAGCCCCAACCAGAGCAGGGTGCTCAGAGCCCTCACCTGGGGTGGTTCCAGGGATGGGGCATCAACCACCTCTTGGAGCAACCTTTACCAGGGGCTCCCCACCCTCAGCCTCCAAAATTCCTTCCCTCTCTCCAATCTAAATCTCCCTCTTTTAGTTTTAACCCATCCCTCCTTGTCTTGTCCCAACAGGCCCTGCTCAAAATCCATCCCCAGCTTTCTGACAGGTCCCTTTAAGCCCTGGCACCCCCCAGAAGTTCTCCCTGGAGCCTTCTCCTCCCCAACCCAACTCTCAGCCTGGCTCCCAGCAGAGGGGCTCCACCTTCTCCATGCCCTGGGGACCTTCTGAAAGACCTGGGGCAGTCGCTGAGCCTCAAACCCTGGGCTCAGGCCCCCCTCAGGTGCTGGGAGGGGGGTGCCAGGGGCTCTCTGCTGGTCCCTCACGTGCCACCTCTGACCTGTCTGCTGCAGGAGACCTTCGATTACATCGGCAGCTCCCGCATGGTGTATGACATGGAGCAGGACAAGTTTCCCCTCCGTTTGAGCAACATCCATTCCTTTGTGGAGTTGAATCAGGTGTGGGATAACTCAAGGGAGCTTTTTTTACACCCTGGGATTATTTAATTGGGGTTTTCCCAGCCAACCTTTCGCTGGTTTGGGCTTTTCCCTGCTCTGCGGAGACTCGGTGGGGCCCGGTCACGGCCTGATGGTGGGTTTGGGGTGTTTCTCTTCAAGGTGGCTCTGAGGAATGGCTCAGTTCTCTGGATGCACACAGACCCTGTCTCTAGGATGAATGGAACCATTGAAGCACAGGTAACACAAAACCATCTGTGCCCACTCCTCTACCCCAACGCTGGGATCCCCACGCTGCGGATGATCCAGATGTTCCCCTTCCAGAACCATTACACATCCTAAAAGAACACTTGGGACCGTGCTGGTTTCTCTTCTTTCAGGTTAAAAACTTGCTGGGCATCCTGAGCAACAGCAGCCTGGGCACGAACGTGACTCTGCAGGAAGCTGGATTCTCCCAACCTCTTCCCCCATCTTCCTTCCAACGTTTCCTTCGGGCCCGGCACATCCCCGGCGTGGTCCTGACCGACCACAGAACTGCCTTCCAGAACAGGTACCTCCCCGGGGGTGGCCCTGGGGCAGGGAGAAGAGGGTTTGTGAGCTCCATCCTGAGCTGGGCCAGGGGTGCAGTGCCTGGCAGACGTGTCAGGCAGATCCCAGGGGGGGAGGCTGGGGAGCAAACACGTGCCCTGGAACCCAACGGCCGCGACGGAATCGTCCTGACAACCGAAAGGAATCCACTTTGGTACAGAAAATGTTCTCCACAGCTGGCTGCAGGCCAGAGGTGAGCAAATGGCAACTGAGCGTGCCTGAGCCTCATCTGTTCTTCCAGAAGCTGGCTGATTTTAGTTATTTTTTTATTTATTTTTTTCAGTACAGCTCTCTGTGATGGCAGAAAGCCCCAGGCGTTGGAAGGGGCGCTTTCCATCACCCCACATGACCCCTACTGCAGCCCCTTCCTTGGGGATCCCCTGCTCCTCTTCAGCTTTAGAAGAGGAAATGTGGGGGCAGAGGACAGAGATGTGCCTCCCCCTCTGCCCTAAACTCTTCAGATTGTCTGTTTCCCTTCATTTTTTGTGCTCTGCTGTTTCTGAGGATCTCTGTAGCAGTCAAGGGGCAGCAGCTTCCCCTTCACCTCTGTGTCTGTGAGAAGAGCTGGCCTGGAGGAGGGAAACACAACCCTGTGACCCATCTTTGGACTGGGGGGGATCAGTCCCAGGCTGCCTGGGAAGGTTGGGAGCACAGCCCACCCTGTGGGCTCTCAGCCCCCTTCCCAGCTCAGCCGTGTGTGCTGCAGATGTGAATCTCTTGTAGGGTGCTCTGGGGATTCCTCACTGCCTTCAAGAGAAGGGGGTAACAAAATCCACTGGCACGACTCTCATCCAGAGCCCCCTTCCCAGGAGACCCTCTGCAAGGGTCCTCCTTGCCTCAGTTTCTCTGCCCATTTAATAGAGGGGGCTGTTGCCTGCCTGAAAGCTAATCCCAGCCTGGAAATTGTTTGGAGATCCTCAGATGGGAGAAGCTGTGGAAGGGCCAAGTTAATTAGAAAGCCTCATTAAATGGTTTAAGGAGCGTGTGGCAGGGCAGAGCTTTGGCAGGGCTGGAGCTCTGCTCCCAGGAGACTGCTCCCAGGGTTTGCTTTAGGCACACTCTGAATTGAATTCCATGCCTTGGGGGGTTTTTTTTTCAGCCCCTCCCCAACCTCTGTTTGCCTTTTTCTTTCCAGATACTACCAGAGCATGTATGACACCCCAGAGAACATCCAGCTGCAGTACCCTGAGGGGCTCAGCCCTGAGGAGACCCTGGAGTATGTCACAGACACAGCCAAGGTTCCTCCTTTGCCTTTTCTTTAGCTGCTGGATCTGGGGTGGATGGAGCTTTGGGCAGGGTCGTGGGGAGAAGGGAGGGAAAGCTGCTTCAGAAGAGGGCAGGAGGAAGGTGGGAGTGCTCTGTGCCACGAGAAAGGTGGTGGGCACTCAAGTGCTAGCAGAGTGTTGGTGTTTGGCTGAATCTGTGGGTTCTGGCTTTGCTCTCCTCCCTTGTTTTTTTCCTGGATCTGCCCATCTTGATTAACACAGAGCACTCTTCCTTTGCAGGCCCTGGCAGAAGTTGCCACAGTGGTGGCTCGTGCTCTCTACCAGCTTGCAGGGGGAGCCAACAACACCTCTGCTATCCAGGCAGATCCAAAAACGGTACGAGCAGATGGAGTTGAGTCCCTGGCACCTCAGCTGAGCCCTCACGTCCTTCCCTTCTGTCTCTGTTTATGTGTGTTTACACAGCATGCTGTCCTGTCTGCCTCCACCAGGGCTCTGCCTCCCCCCTCTTCCCCCCACCAACCCTTTCACCCAGCTCTTGTTCCTTGCCTCTCCATCTCAGGGCAGAGATTAAGCTTCAAAACCAAGCTCCCTTTACCCTCCTTCCCCAAAGCAGAAGAGGAAGGTGAGGTGAAAAGTCAACGTGAGCCACAGGGATCAGTGAAGGAGTCAGGGGAGCTGGAATCACCCCATTTTCACAGCTCAGCCCTGAATTAGACATGATGGTGACACAGAGTTATGATAGGACAAGAGGAAACGGCCTCAAGTTGATTCTTTTCAGTCTCTCCTCTGCTGCTCTCTTGGCCCCTGTGGTGGGAAGCATCTGTCAGCAGATGCTGAAACATCAAATCCTCTTGAGAGGCAGAGCTGCTAAGCTGCTGTGTTCTCTCTCCTCCTTGCATGAACCAGTTCTCCTCTCTTCCCAGGTCTCTCGAATGCTCTATGGGTTTCTCATCAAAATGAACAATTCCTGGTTTCAGTCCATCATTAAATCAGACCTGAAAGGAATTCTGGGTAAGAGCAACACAGGGAAGAAGAACGAGGGGATGGGTTTGACCTCCTGTGTCACCTGGCAGCCTGCTGAAGTGTCTGCTTCTGGCCACCTCCCCACCAACCCCACTCCTCTGGCTGTTGCAGGTGATGTTCCCCAACACTACGTGGCTGTCTCCAGCCCTGTGAACACCACCTACCTTGTGCAGTATGTCCTGGCCAACCTCACAGGCACTGTGGTCAACCTCACCAAGGAAGAGTGTCTGAACCCTGAGAAAACCCCCAGCACTGAGAGAGAAGTGAGTGTCCAGCAGTGGGGTGAGGGGTCAGGGCAGAACTGTCCAACTTGCTGGGTTCTGCTTGGGAGGAAAGCTGGTTAGAATCCCAGAATTCCCTCTGGGGGGTTGGGAGGGACCTCTGGGG